GTAGCACCAGTATCCACCATAGCCCTGATTGGCTTCCCATTGATTTTTACATCAATGAACATTAAGCCTTTGGCCCTACAAATACGAGCCTTCGCTTCTTCCATCTTTGCCTCTTTTAATGGGACATCATCCTTTTCAGCAACCCGATGCGATAGTGTGTTGCACCGATGTGAAAATGCCCCAACTACTTCCTCATCCTCTTCAGAGTCAGTCTCATTATGACAATTAGCTTGCGGGACCTCTTGTTTTGAACTTGGCCCGCCACTTGCTAACTGACAATATGCATTCTCCATCCGCTTTTGAGGACACTCCGACACCCGATGAGGTCCTTCACATAAAAAGCACTTCAATTTGAGAGTGGCATCAGTTCGGCCCTCCGTTGCATTTTAGAGTGGCATCAGTTCGGCCCTCTGTTACTTTTCCTTTGTTCCAGTTGTTATTGTTGCTGCCGTTAAAATTTCCTTGACGGCTATTAGGATAGTTTCCCTGATAGCCACGGGTGCTTTGATAGGCTCCTTCTCTATTTTGAGAGTAGCGCTCTCCCCCATTTGGGTTCGAGCTGGGTCTGTAAGATCTGTTACCACCTCCAATTGCTTGATTACTCCCCGAAGGTCGATCTTTTCTAGATTCTGTTTGGTAGTCGCTCAAGCATTCAGCGGCTCCCATGGCCGTGCTTAAATCAGTAACCTTCTGTCTTTGAAGTTCCGTACGTGTCCACAGTTTCAACCCTTCCATAAAGGGGAAGAGCTTGTCCTTTTCTGACATATCTCGAATATTCAGCATATGCCCTGAGAAGGATTTCACATACTCCCTGATAGAGCTCGTGTGTCTCAGGTCTCGAAGAGCCCGTCGAGCCTGATACTCGACATTTTTCGGGAAAAACTGCAATCTGATCGCTTCCTTGAAGAGATCCCAAGAATCAATTTGAATCCTGTGGGCCTGAATGTCCGCATATTTGGTTCGCCATCATAGTTTTGCATCTCCACCCAGATACATGGTAGCTGTGGTTACCTTTCTAACTTCATCTTCGATCGAAACTGCTAGAAAGTACTGTTCCATATCAAACAAGAAGTTTTCGACTTCTTTTGCATCACGTGCCCCTCCGTAGGTACACGGTTCAGGAATTCTGAGTCTAGGAGCATACTCGTGTGCGGGAGCTTGCCATTGCCCACCGCACGTTGGAGTACTCGCAATTGAGCTCTCAACGCTTCCATTTCATCCTGCAGATCAAGAATGATTGCAGCAGCTTCCGTCATTGCTGCGCAAGCTCTTTGGCTTTCATCCAATTGGATGTGTAATCCACGAATCTCAGATTCGGCCATCTCGACTTTTTCCTCGAGACCTTCCATAGTATAGCACAACCTAGCAGTTGTCTCATCAAGCGCATCCACGCGCTGTTTCGTAGTACCCTTTTGAGACTCTACCACTTCAGTGGTGTGAGATATAATTGGATCCATAGCTTTCTTATCGAGGGTCGTGAGTCGCAGCTTTGATACCAACTTTCACGGGGTGCCTTTCTTCTTGGCACAGAAAGGGACACCGTGCGACAGTAATCTGCTCCGCTAAACTACCTTCCGCCTTTTCTCGATCGCGTCGGGACGAAAGAAAATTTGATTGCAAATTTGTAGAAAGCTTACAATTGAGAATTTGAATACATTGAAAGTAAATTGAACATTCATTGATGAAAACTGAACATTACAATTGATGAAAGCAGAAAATTACAAATGCTGGTGCAGGGGGCGGACACCAGTGAGCTTGAAAGATTTTTGAATGACTAATACCCCCTATAATAGCATTCTGAACAAAAACACAAGTGACGGGAGTAGACGTTTAAAAGACGAGAAATCATACTAAACGTTTACCAATATCAGAGTTATTTTACAATTGAAATAACTATTACAATGAAAAGAAAATTACAACTCAAACTTGAAGTAATATTTACAATGTTTGGCCGAAATTGGGCAAACTGCGACTGCGATAGTGTCAAGAGGCTAAGTAAAGCTGCGGACCTTGACACCATGTGTCGTACATGTATTACTGGTGCCAAAGAAAGATGGAATTTAGAGAATGTGCGTAGATTACAGAGTCATCAACAACATTACGGTAAAATATCGTCATCCAATTTCTAGGATAGATGATATGCTAGATGAGCTACATGGTGCATGTATTTTAAGTAAAATTAATCTTAAAAGTGGGTATCATCAAATTCGCATGAGGGAGGGTAATGAATGAAAAACGGTTTTTAAAAATAAATATGGATTGTATGAATGGTTAGTTATGCCGTTTGAACTCACAAATGCACCAAGTACTTTTATGCGGTTAATGAACCATGTTTTGCATACTTTCATTAGAAAATTTGTTGTAATTTATTTTGATAACATTTTAATCTATAGCAAGAATCTTGATGAACATGTAGGACACCTAAGATGTGTGCTTATGGTTTTGAGAAAGGAACAATTTTATGCCAATTTTAAAAAGTGTACTTTTTGCATGGATAGAGTTGTGTTTCTAGGCTTTGTGAATAGTGCTAATGGTGTAGAAATAGATGAAGAGAAAATAAAGGCTACTAAGGATTAGCCAACACCTAAAAACATAACTGAAGTTAAAAGTTTTCATGGATTTGCTAGTTTTTACAGGCATTTTGTAAGGGACTTCAGCACGATTACCACGCCACTAACTGAAATTGCCAAGAAAAATATGGGGTTTCAATGGGGGGTAGAACAAAAACATGCATTCAACACCATCAAAGGTTGTTTGTATAAAGCACCGATTTCAGCACTTCCTAACTTTGACAAAACTTTCGAAATTGAGTGTGATGCATCAGAAATAGGTATTGGAGCAGTCTTAATACAGGATAAGAGACCTATAGCCTACTTTAGTGAGAAGCTAAGTGGTGCAGCTCTCAACTATCCTACGTATGACAAGGAGCTCTATTTACTTGTTCGAGCTTTGGAGACATGGCAGCATTACCTGTGGTCAAAAGAGTTTGTAATTCATTATGATCATGAATCACTAAAACATTTGCGGGGTCAAGGTAAGTTAAACAAACAACATGCACGCTGGTTAGAATTCATAGAAACTTTTTCATATGTTATTCGTTACAAACAAAGTAAGGAAAATGTAGTAGCAAAGGCATTGTCGCGAAGGTATGTGCTTTTAACTACTTTAAGTGCAAAATTACTTCGTTTTGAGTACATTAAGGACATATATGCTAATAATTATGAATTTTCCAACATTTACAATTCATATCATAAGAGGGCTGTAGATAAGTTCTTTAAACATGAGGTGTACTTGTTTCGGGAAAACAAATTATATGTTCCTAATTGCTTTATGCGTGAATTATTGGTTAGAGAAACACATAGTGGGGGTCTAATAGGTCACTTTAGGATAGCAAAAACTTAAGAAATATTAACTGAGCATTTTTATTGGCCTAAAATGAAAGTTAATGTGGAACGAATTTGTAGTTGATGCATAACTTGTAAACAGGCTAAATCTAGGGTATTACCTCATGGGCTTTATACACCTTTACCAGTACCTAGTGAGCCTTGGGTAGATATCTCAATGGATTTTATGTTAGGTTTGCCTAGGACTAAAAAGGGTCGGGATTCAATTTTTGTAGTGGTGGATAGATTTAGTAAGATGGCACATTTCATTCCATGTCACAAAACTGATGACGCCACTAACATTGCAGACTTTTTTTAAAGAAATTGTGCGCTTGCATGGAGTACCTAAAAATATTGTGTCAGATAAGGATGTCAAATTTTTTAGTCACTTTTGAAGGGTCTTATGGAATAAGTTAGGCACGAAATTACTATTTTCTACAACTTGTCATTCACAAACCAATGGACAAACAGAAGTAGTAAATAGGACCATGACACAACTATTGCACACTGTGGTTAATAAGAATTTGAAGAATTGGGAAGAGTGCTTACCTTTCATAGAGTTTGCATATAATAGGGTCACACACTCCACTACATCGTTTTCTCCATTGAAATTGTTTATGGTTTTAATCCTATAACACCTATGGATTTAATATCTTTGTCTGTAAATGAACGAGGTAGCTTGGATGGAAAGAGGAAGGCCGAGTTGGTAAAGTCACTCCATAAAAAGGTGCGAGAGCAAATTGAGAAGAAAAGTAAGCACTATGTAGAACAAGCAAATAAGGGCAGGAAGATTGTTACATTCGAACCAGAAAATTGGGTTGGGTGCATTTCAGAAAGAACGGTTTCCAGAACAAAGAAACTCATAGTTGTTACCACGTGGAGATGGACCATTTCAAGTGCTTGAGAAGATCAATGACAACACATACAAATTAAATCTTCCAGGTGAGTATAACGTTTCAGCAACTTTTAATGTGTCTAATCTTTCTCTCTCTCTAGTACAGGTACAGATTCAAGGACGAATCATTTTGAATAGGAAGGGGATGATGTGATCCAAGAGCCGCAAGCATCAAGATCAAGTCCAACGTCAAACCCGAAGAAAGATCCGTTGATAGTTGAGGGCAGTCCGATAACTCGAACGAAGACGAAGCGAGTAAAAGAGGCGATGGGATTGCTCTTTCAAGAAACTATTGATGGAACGATGTTCGGGACGTAAAACGAGACAACTTTCATGTTCGAGTCAAGAGCCGAATGAAATTGAATTAACTTAATACAAGCCAACGAAAACGAAGGCAAACTGGTCTATCATGCTATCGCATAGTGTTATTTCCGAGACAAAATTTCTTTTTTCCACGTTTTTTCCATATTTTGTTAGAATTTTATTCCTAGTCAAATTCTTATGATATTGGATGGTTATTTTCGAGATTTTACTATATTATTAGTATTTTATTCCTTTTTTACTTCTATTCTAGGATTTAGTATAAATAGAAGTTTATTTCCTCATTGTAAAGAACCTTAAACATATTGATTAATTGAAAAACTTTAATTGCTTTCTCTTTGTTCTTCCAATTGAACAACTTTCGAACTCATCAAGATCTAATTCTTGTGGCGTTCAAGTCAACCGAGTGAGATTCCATAATTTTGCGTAATCAAGAGGTCCCAACATCGTCGACGATTCGGGTTGCTTGGTTCCAAATTTATCGAATTCAAATCCAAAACCTTGCTTTGGCTTTCTTGAGAAGATTTGCATCTTGTTCTTGGGTTCCGTAGCGTGAGTTCACATCAGATACCTAATGCAATATTATCAATTCTCACACCTTTAAACTGACCTGACAACAACATTTATTTTAAGTAGAATCAACGACTTGATAGGGAGATTGAGTACAAAATCTTGGACTTGGAGTATATGATGCATCGACACGGATACGTATCTACAACACGATACTTTTCTCGGATACGTCGACACGCAATTTTTCAAAAAAATGCCAACACGATACGTCGCCAACACGTCAATTAAATTCTTTAAAATTCTTCATTTATATAGTATAAATTTAATCATATACTTGTTATTAATTTTTCTTGTTTAAATCTTTTAAATATGAGTACCTATTTGTTATTTACTAATAATTTTGAATTAAAATTATATAATATTTTTAATAAAAAATATTTATGATAGAGTGTCCGAAGAGTGTCAATATCGACAAGTGTCTGACACGCGTCAGACATAGACACGCTACCTTAATTGAAGTGTCTGTGCTACAAAGGATGTGATAATACACAAGATAACCAGTACTACTGTTATTCTCTTGGTTCTTATTTTTTTCATTTCATTGAAAAGTTCACCCACTACAATATTATCACAATAGTTTTGTAAAGACATGCACTCAGATTCCATATGTTTGTTGAAATAATTAAAGCAAGTCCAAAAACCAACCAGCCTGGATTTTGACTTGTTCCCTTCAGTTAGCAAAGTTTCCAACTGGAGCGGTGTTAGTTGGTTTGCCGTACCTAGAAAAGTCAAATGAAGACGAATTATAAAAACCAGTCAAAGAAAAAAGACAACATTATATATTAGGATAGTATATCACATTGTGGAGGCCATCATGACTTTGAGTAAGAGCATATAAACTTTATCTCAAAGAAGCTAAGTTTCAATGCAAGGGGCAAACGGGAAAAAAATTGTAACAGTGAGATAATCCCATACCTCCTTCATATGCAGCTTGTTGTGCTATAACATATATAACCGTTGGAAAAATGCAGAATGACATAAGTTAAAATTATTGTGTCAATTTAAACTTTTGACAACTTCCACTGTGCAAGACCTACCAGAAAATACTAATGCATACCACAGAGCCACGTGATAGTCCATCACCAAACCAGAAGCAACAAGGAATATCTGAGAAAATATGAACTCGAGTTAAAAGATATATTTTCTTAAAAGTTCAAATATAAAAGAATTGTGTAAAATGAAAAGAAAATAGGCATGAAAGGCTAAAAGGTAGGAAGGCACGTTCCAGATAACATATTATCCAAAAAAGGTTACTGAATATAATTCAAACCAGCCTGACTAAGAATCCACCAAACTTGTTGGAATCACCGTTTCCTCTATATAGCTAAGTCCAAAACTTTTGTAAATGTCAAAATGATATGCAATGAGATAACTATCCTCAAGATGCTCTTTACATCTCACAATTAAGTTCTTTGTCAAAGACCTCTTTCCTTACAAATGGTGAGCTCTACGGCAGAGGCGAAAACTAACTACTTGTGTCTACCATAAGTGATTAATATTTTACAAATCTATATTGCTGTTTCATTTAAAATATCATCATCAAAAAGCGATAAGGAAATTCTCTTTTTGATGAAGATGATAAAATGAACATATTTTCATTGTGACACTATCATTCATGTGGAGATGTTAGTGGATATGCCATGCTGTCATACTGAGCAAGGCAATCAATAAAAGTCTAATGTGGCATTCCCATTTCTCACTTTTTCTTCTCTTTATACTCCTTTTCTTCTTTATTGAAATATATCCTATCAAATCCTAAAAATTTTCAGTTCTATCATTTCCAAAAGTTTCAGTGTTTCCTAAATTTTGCAATTTATGACTGTATGACGACATTTAGCAAATCTGGTTCATTTTAGTTTTTTAATACAAGCTGTTTACACAACGCATTTGAGGCAAATGCAACATTGGCAAAAAATAAAGTATCTGATATGAAACCCTCCCATGTTTCCACTTTTACCACCTGTCAGTAAATATAACAAACAAGAACATCTTTATTAACAATTGTATCTAGACAATCTTTTAACAATTAGAATAAACCATCGTATCAAACTAAAGTTTGTTATTTCCACCTTATGTAAACTAAAGTTGGGAAATAAAGCCAATATTACCTTTCCTTGCAAATATCATCTATATTCGTTTAATTAAATACATGTACCAAAATGATTCTTTCAAAATTTCGATTTTGGTAAAAATAATCATAACTTAACAGCTGATAAAACACAAAATGCAAGAACCGCTTGAATTTCCTGCAGATTCACCACAAAGAAGCAAAACAATTATATCACTAAACTAAGCGATTTCAATTGCAATATTTAGAAAAGGAATATAATCCGTGAAGAAGTGAATACTCTGCAAAGGAGATAAGAAGAGCGGAGGCGGAACAGCGAATGGGAATGTATGAGAAGAGTGATAGAAAATGGAGTAAATAGTACGGTTCAGAAATGACACAGTTGATCGATTTCATTGGATTCCCAGTGTTGCTGCTCTGTGACATTGTTTTTTCTTCCGAAATCTGTGAAATGAATAGTTTGGCGTGGACATAGCGTTATGCTAAACTCTGGGCCTTCGAAAGATTGGGCCCAATGGGATGCACTCCATGTTTAGGTTCTTAGGCTTGACTATAATCCAACACTTAGTGCTTGTTCGTAGGGCGGGACAAAACTTTCGAATCGAACCGAACCCGAACCGAACGGAATCGAACCCGACATTTCTTCTCAAGTTAAATACCCGAACAGATATTTGAATCAAGAACCGACGGGTATGGTTCGATTCTCGGTTCTAGGCTAAAACCCGAAAAACCGAATCTCTGTAATTTTTTTAATTAATTTATTTTAAATAAGTAAAATTATTTCATTTTTTCTAAATAAATTTGTTAACTAGTTAATTTTGTTCAAACCACAAAATATGATTTTCCTATTTCTAATATTCAGTTCCAAATCGACTTAATCAAATTGACCTCAATTTTATCCAAATTTGTTATTCTACTGTAGTGTCGTTTCTACCGAATAAAATCGAATTAAAACTCTACAACATCTCTCTTAATTATTTTGAGCTCACTATCTTTCTCTTTCTATGATTTTAATAATCAAATTTATGAAAAATTCAGCAAAGAGAGACATGAAACAAATAAGATTGAACTACATTATTTTGTAAGAGCTAATATTAAATATATCATTAATTAAATTAACGTAACTTTGTATATATTAAAAAAATTTAATTATAATACGGAATCGAACCGGACCGAACCGGACCGAACCAAACAGAACCGAAAGGAACCGAATCCGAACGGTTCCATAATTAAATTTGGACCCGACGGTTTCATTTACTAAATACCCTAAAATTTTGGGTCGATTCGATTCTCTTTAGAACCGAACCAAACCGGACCATGTCCAAAATATATCATTAATTAAATTAACGTAACTTTGTATATATTAAAAAAATTTAATTATAATACGGAATCGAACCGGACCGAACCGAACCGAATGGAACCGAACCGAACCAAACCGAACCGAAAGGAACCGAATCCGAACGGTTCCATAATTAAATTTGGACCCGACGGTTTCATTTACTAAATACCCTAAAATTTTGGGTCGGTTCGATTCTCTTTAGAACCGAACCAAACCTGACCATGTCCGGCCCTACTTGTTCGGAATAGCTTTAGAGCTACTAAAAAGTTAATATCAAAGTCTAATTAATTTTAATTATAATTAAATCCATAATTTTTATCAATGTTTCAACCCGATCAACTTTCATCAAAATTCGCTGTCAAATAACCCCTAAAAAGCAAATTACTTCCAACTACTTAGCATGCTAGTTATTGTGTTTTTTTGTTGGCAATCTTGTTTCTTAGTCATCCAAGAAACAACATTTTGTTACATGTGTCAAATAGAGGTGATCATTGTTCGATTTAAAAGATTTGTGACAAATTTTCAAACCAAATCATTTAAAGAGATTTGAAAAATTTTCAAACCAAACCAAATCACTTCAAATTTTAAATCAAACCAATCTAAACTACTTAGTAGCTGAATTAATGTTTTACGCTCTTTACTCAGTGAAATCCAATTTTCGCTGCCCAATACTACAATTCCTTCGTGTAATAAATTTGGAGTGGCCTCTCTTGCTGAAAATGTAGTTTTCCATGCACGAACTACACGTTAAATAGCAGGATATGTTCCATCGTGTAAGCAAATAGCAGATTGTTATACAAAAGCCTACTTCTCTGTGATATCTTAAATAGCCATGGCTAGGAGATTCCTCTGCATTATGTGGGCTACATTGGCTTACTTTGGATTCTGTTGCGGTGGCAATGTCACAAATCACTCAAATTAATTGAAAACGGCTCATACGAATTTCTAAAATAACTAGTCTGCGTCTCGTGCGTTGCACGAATTTTATATTTATTTTGGTTTTATTAGCGTAAAATTTATAGATTGTATAAAAAGTATTTGAAAAAATAAGAAATATTTGTTTGATTCTCATCTGTTGGTCGACTGTATATTTTATGTTACGATAATTTATTTTTATTCTTATAAATAAGTATAACGAATGTTGTGATTGTATATATGTCAACGATAATTTATTTTTAATTATTTATTGTATTTTTTCGTTTAATGTAGATGCAAATATTTTTTTTTATCTGATATTGCAAATAAATTGTAAATTGAATTTTGCAAAATGCTTTTCTTTAGCAACTTCAATTTGAGAGGCTATATTTGTAATTTAAAAATAACTCATGCAGTTATAAATTGAAAGATAATATCCACATACACAAATATTTAAATAACAAACTCAAGTTCGCACGTAAAATAACTTGAAGTGGCACTTACTAGATGGTCAACTCCCTTGTGGATATAAAATTAGAACCCTAACAGTATGTCTATTCTTCTGATGATACAACAATCACTCCAAAGTTGGTAGGGCAAAAAAATTAAAAAAATTAATAAATTTTATTTGAAAGAGAAAAGATTTAAAAAGAAATTTAAATAAATTGATAAAAAAACAATTACTTATAAAGTAAATTTTTCAATTTTAATTAAATAATATTTATATATTTTTCATTTGATTTTCATAACTTTATTTTATTTTTTCACTTCTAAATAATTTTAAACGAATTTCATAGCGTATGAAAATGGAGAACGGAAAAGCAAAAAAAAAAAAAATTGAATAATCCTCCATGCACGGAGACCACACTATATATATATTTTTTAATTCTTTTCTCTTCAATTTTTTTAACCTACAAATAACTTTTTCGTTAAAACTGAAAAATTAAGTTTTATTTGAAAGAGAAAAGAATTAAAGAGAAAAAAATAATTTATTTTTTTAAAGAAAAAACGACTTATACTTATTTGTTAATACATACGTTTAATCTCCATTTAACTATTTTCGATATTTATTTAGATCATTCGATATCTCTACGATATAGTTCTTAAAATGAGCTTCGAGAGAATACAAAATTTTTAATGATTCGACTATCGTACAATTGTCGACGAATTTTTAAAGTTAGCTTGTTATCGAAAATTTCGAAATAGTAATAAAATAATTGATTTTTTTAAGAAAAAC